AATAGAGATAGAATGAAGCAGAATGATGAAAAAGGGGTCCCTATGTCCTCCAGCAGTCTAAGCCTATAGCAGCTTTGTTTAAGGTTAACAGTGCAACAAGGGAAAGTCTCATGGTCATAATAGTTTCTGCCCCTGACGTTTCTAAACAACCAGACGATGATTAGCCTCTGCTAACAGGACAGGAGACCAAACAAAGCAAGAGATGTGAGACCATAGTGGAGATGTGTCTGATCGATGGGATTATCTGATAGAGCGAACTGAGGGTAACTGCCTGAGGAAACATTCTGGATCGTTCCCAGTGGGAGCTTTAAGCTCAAACCGAACCGATCCAGATTTTCCTCTCCTGCACATTGATCCATTAAACATCACCCAGACATTCAGACATCTTTTACTTGAAACATTCACTTTCTGTTTGCTCAAACTACTGGAGCTCAGCTCAAGAACATCCATTTCCCAGTGTTTCCAGTGTTAGATCTTAGAAATGACCAGAATTAGAACCAGACATGTTCTTTTCACGGTTCCGAAGCAGAACTCGCAGCTTTAGGACGGCTTTACTGTCACCTTCTGCCTGGTTTATCCACATCAGCTCTGATGTCTCCAGTGAGTCCATGAGGCAGAGGGCGACAGAATCCACTGTTGGTTCATCTGATGGATAGAAATGTTATCCAAACTCTTAAAAAATACCTTTATTGTAGCTGAAAGTGTGGATTCTGTCTGAGCTCTCCCAGATGTTTGCCAGATGTACCAGAGAGAGCGTCTCTGGATTGGCAGTGATGGATGGGAAACAACGGACACACTTGGCGGCACTTTAACAAAGTGAAAACGAGCCGAGGAAGAAGAAGATACCTTCAAAGAGACGTAGAGAAAGTCCTGCTGAAGACTTCATGATGGATTTATTTGCTCCTAAAGTTTTAAGCTCTATAAACTGATGGATTTATCTTCATCCCGGGCAGATAAAAGCAGCTGAGATGTTCTCCAACATCTTATTTCTTTAAAATCTTTATTAAAACTTTACAAATATCCAGACTTCCCACCAAGCAAGAACTGGTTGAAAAGACAATAAAAGGACGACATGATTTACGTTCAAATGTTTGGTTGAAAAGGGAACATTTTCAGATCTTTGAATAGATTTGCGATGTCTTTTCAACGTCTATTGTTGGACTAAAGTGGGACAAAATCAGACGGACCAACCGAGTCCAAAGATTTAGGCTAAAACCTAACGTCTAAATGACGTCTGGGGTTTGAGTCGGAGGCGCTCCGAGGCCAGCAGAGAGACATAATCCCCCCATGGTGTCCTGGTTTTCCCCTGGTTCTCCTCCTGGATGGATATCCGTGGAAATTTTAGATTTCTCTTGTTTTATATCTTGATTTATGCTATTTACTCCTTATAAAGTTTTCACTCTGTAAGCATCACCTGCAAGGCCAATGCCTGAGTGGGGGTGTTTGTAGACTTCTTCCCATAACAAACCAGATTCTTTCTCAAGGTTTATTCATAACATGTTACTGTTTAACCAAAGTTTCTGTAATTTGTTTTAATTATTGTAAGTAAGGAGGAACGAACGCTGCCCAGGCAGAACAGGACTGATTACTGTGCAATAATGGCCGTAGGATGAACCAATCTTTGCAAAGATAAAAATAAAGTGCCGACTGAGTGAAATCCATCGATATCCGTTTATTTTAACTGCAGTAAGTAGTTGGATACTTTTTTCCCCACTATAAACCTCTCAGCAGGAGGCGTCCATCTCATACGGATGTCTGATCCTCCTCAGCGGCTCTAATAGCCCAACCTCCCTGCAGAGCATTTCATTTCGGCCACCTGTATCCAGGATCTCGTTCTTTCGGTCATGATCCAGATTTCATGACCATAGGTGAGGGTGGATGTTGGGTTTTAAATCCAGAGAAATGTGAGTTTAAAGGAATAGTACACCCAAAACATGATTAGCCTTCATTTTCTACTCACCCCCATGCTGAACAACACTCTGGAGT